TGATAGATAGGCAAGATGAGAAAAGAAAAAAAAAGGCATGAGAGAAACATTGCTTTATAAACCTTAAGACTTAATAAAAAATTAAATATTTTGCATATGAAAGCATCATAATGTTTACTGATAATCTGCCAAATTTCTTTAACATTCGCTTACTAATTTAAAAGTTGTAGCACAAAAACTGTAACAAGCACAAAATGGTTACGAGGTCCTCACATTGACCGACCCCATATTGAAAGAGTTAATTAACCTATACATATTTACACCCACCAAAATCTATTAACTAACCTGTACATATTCGTCATCTCTCAAAGAACTAACCATTTTTGATTAGCAACTACCTTATTGATGATGTAAGTGTTTTATGATGTACAGTTTATCAATATACTGTATCTGTGGAAAAAAGAAACACAGAATTAGATCTTAAATTATTTTTAGGTTTTTTCATTTGTGTCTACTAAAAGTGTTGCACATTCATGAATTTATCTGTACCTGCAACTTGTTTTCCAGCAGATTATCGGTTGTTGTGGCTCTCAGATATAAAAAGCTGCTTAGTGTAGGTAGTATTATTAGTTAACTTATTTGGTGTTTGTAATTCATTGATGTTAAGGCTATCAAATATTGTATTTGCAATCCATTGATGTTGAGGTTATGGAGATTTCTAGATGGCCTAAGTGATAGACATAAATAACTGTGACCAGACAAGCAAAAATGGAGTACAAGTAAAGTCATGTAAAAGAGAAATTTGGTCAGAGAAAAGTTAAGAAATATAAAGTTAACCATCATGGGAGGGAATGGCCTAATGATTGATATGCTAGAGTGAGATTAACAGTTAGAAAGAGATAAGGAGAATAATTTGTCTCATTGAAGTATGTTCTAAACTAATTGAACCTGCTTGTGTGGAATTTGACAAAAAGGCAGACAATTATTGGAAGTATGAAGAGCAGATGATTATTTGAAGTATGAAAAATAGATGATTATTGGAAATTCAGGATACAACTGTGGTAACTCACACGACAACGTAAGTGAATTATACACTGACACTACTGTGATAAAAATAGTTTGACTTGTCATCTAAATTCTAAAGCAATTCAGTTGGCCCAAGTGGACTTTTGACAAGAATAAGAGAACTGTATAGTGTTTAAGATACAACTATGATCTCCATAGTGTAAATAATTTTTGTATGTACATTTAACTTGTTTTGAATATATATGTTATTATAAAAACAGTGGAGTGCATGACTGTTTGTTTATTGTCGAATTTATCACTAACAAGTCACAGACACCTACCGTAGAAGAATCCTTAGCCCAACACACCCATATATTTACATTATTATATATACTACTAAAAAGTAAGTTTCTGACAATGGCACTTTCTAATTTTTGACTATACAGTGCAGGTTTGTTTGTTTCTTTGCATTGTTGAATTTTGCACAAAGCTACTTGAGGGCTATCTGCACAAGCTCTCCCTAATTTTAAAGTGACAGAGTAGAGGAAAGGCAGCTAGTCGACATCACTCACTACCAAAGTTTGGGCTACTTTTTTACTGACGAAAAGTGAAATTGACTATCGCATTGTAATGCCCCCACTGCAGACAGAATAAACATGTTTGTTGAGGATATTCAAACCTACAACCTGCAGATTGCAAGATAAGTGCTCTAACCACCAGACCATTCCAGGCCTAAGATGCAGGAAAATGCAATTTATTGATACTACCTAACAAACGTAGTATTTTCATTCATTTACTCTTGCACCTATCTTGTGTATTAGTTTGTTTTCATCATCTTGGCAGCTACTGATTTTAGCCAGTAATTTTCCAACCATAGTTCTACTCTTTGGATTATTCAAAGCCTCCAACCAATTTTCACTTTTTTTTTCCACTGTCATGTACTCTGACATATCTTTTTCTACTCATAAAATACCTTCACTACTGGTACTAGTGCCATTAGATTATAACTTTTAGTTTTCTGTCAGAATTTGTTTTTACCATCCACCACTTTACCTTGTCTTTCTAAAGTAAGAGCAAAGAGGAGGAAACAATCTCTAGACTGCCTTGGCACCTGTCTCAACAGTTACCATTGTTTTTATATGTATGTATATATATATATGAGACACCACATTTGTTTTAAATCATTTATTAAAATGGGCAGAAGAAAATAAGTAAACAGGAAGCCAGTTAGATACATTTAACTTGTAATGAATCATGTCAGAAGTACTTCAAAGCATAATACACTAGAAAATAAATAAAAAAAACTTTTCATACTACAACCCTACTCACTGAGCCAGAAGGTTGATTTTGTTATGAAATAATATGATAAAATTATTACTAACATATAAGTAGTTGGAAGAAAATTGTTGCTGTGTTCAGTAAATGTTTCTATAAAAAAGATCTATGTTCAAAAGCATTTACCACTGAGGCCAATAAATATAACATTAAAGGACAATTAACAAAGGTCCATCTGGGCCATCCTATCCACTATACACAGAAAAACTCAAAGCCAGCCCTTATCGTACACTATTTATCAAGTTATCCCATAAATTCCCTTAAATTAACTGCATCCATCACATATGAAGGCAACTCTACCAAAGGCAAACCATGCTTTATAAGAATAAAGCTATTTTAGCTGAAGATGACTCCTACCTTTTAGAAATTTATATTTGTGTCCCCTCGTCTTATCATTCTCACCATTAAATACAAAAAGAGATGATGCACCAACACTTAATTCCATTACCAATCCTAAACACCTCAATCAGAGTCCCTCTAACTCTTTTTTTTTTCAAGAAAAACAAGTTCACAGATCGTAACCTGTCTTTGTGTGATAACCTTTCCATCCCAGTTATCTTAGTAGCCCTTTCTAATAATTTAACAATTCACTGCCCTTTCTAAGGTAATGAAGCAAGATATTTTATAATCATACTATGATTAATAACAGTAAAACAAATGAATAATTGATATTTAGCTTAGAGAACTGTATTGATTTGTTTAAGATATATATAAAAGTTTCTAGTTTGATCTAGATTATGTACTAAGTAAAATGTTGAACTTCGGTGCCATTGAAAACCAAGGAATACAAGATATGAGACATGAAAATGAAATAAAATGCTCTTTTTTGTGCCTTCTGTATGTGATTGACTTTAAAGGGAGGTGAGAACAAGAAATGGTATTCTTATCTGGAGATAACATGTTTGTTCACTTATTTACCTAAGTTTTAATTAGTTCACATCAAGTTATGAGAAAATTCCTTTTTTTTTAGGCACCCTTTATTTCACTTTATTCAGGTAATTTTATATAAAAAGGCATTCATGCTGAGAATTAACACCATCAAAACCCTCTAAATGCAGAAAATTCATGTTATAAAATCACTGTTTGCTTTCTATAGCATTAAGCTTCTTTCTACATCGTGTACTTAGTAAGACAGAACTTGGAGTTTGGCCTTGTGCAATATGCAGATTTCTGTACATTTTTTCAACTAAGTACAAAAAACAGTTAGTAGGCAAGGACATTCTGCAGATTTCTGTATAATTGTATCAATTAAATGAAAACTATTATTAGGTGAGTGCAATCAACAGATTTCTACAGTTTCCACTCTTCCTTGTTCTGAGTGTAAAATTTTTCCTAATCTGCCAAAGTAGTTGGACTGTGGATCTGACATTATGTGATACGCATCTTGCAGCTTTGGGCAAAATTCAACAAACAAATTCTCTTATGTATTTGTACATTTAGAAAAACATGTCTGGCTTTTAAAAATTTACAAAACTTTACGATGATAGGAAAAGGATTCCAGTCTCTCTTACAAACAAACAAAAGAACAACAATATTTCTGTAAACTAAACCACATTCTTATTGAATATTTTATTATATTGTTATGATTAGACATAAAATAATGTTATATTATTTTAATTTATTATTATTGTTTTAGTTGTGTTGCTTCATTTTCTATCTTTGAACCAAAAATCTTTTATACTTTCAGCTTATAAACAATAATTTATTTCTAAGTAAATATATGAAGTTGTTTCTAAACATATAGTAGAAAAGCCTATCTTGAAACTAGTTATAATATCAATTTAAGGATACATTTCAATTCTCTATATTTTATATAAATAAATACCTTAAGACATTTTAGATTTTTTTCAGATGTGGGTAAAAAATATTTTCCTTTAGTTTTATAATTTTCTGTGAGGTGAGGATGTTGTTAGAATACTTTCAATATTAAGACTTTATTTTGATGAATACGATTACTACAGATGTACATTTTGAAATAAAATTGTAGAATGTTGTATCAAAGTTGAAGGGTGGGAATATAATTTTCATTTCCATGTTTCAGATAACGTTGAAGATTGTGATATGGTTGAATTTTATTACAATAAATTTGATGATACTTGTAAAGTGTGCAATGAAAAAAAAAAGAAATGCTGATGACCACAAGGTGATTAATTATTATATAATTTCCTGCTTATTGTGCACTAACATTATCATTGAACACTGAGTAGTATATGTCTGTGTATATTTATATATTTTAGGAGGTTCTATTATCAACTATTATAGAAAAAAAGAGAGAGAGTATTACATAATTGATCAGTCAAAGAAATGAAGTTTCAGCATTCTATTAAAACATGAAAATTATCATTACATATTATCAAGATTTTCTTTTTAAGATTTTATAGTGCAGTTTAAGCCATTGGTTTTTCTTACTAAACAGATATTTTTAAGTGTGAAGCTCCTTAAGACCTTAGACACCCTGGATGATGACACCACCTAAAGATGTAATATCGTTTATAAATAATAGCCATTCTGAGGTACCTAAAGTCTTATGTAGTCAAATGTATCATTTGTATGTTGTCAGAAAAGTTTAAAGGAGAATAACAGTCTCATGAGAACCACTGTCTTAACCAACTTATTTACAGTTACTCAAGTGGACACGGATTTACCTCAGTTGAGATGTTGGATGTAGCTTTGTTAGGCATAGATTCTCCCTGGAAAAAGTGGGTACAGATTCAGACACCTTTAACTCAGATAGAGTCAGATCTCCATTTGGTTTGCATCAATATTAAATCACATCATTATATAAATTCTATTTTAATGTCAGTCAGGTGATTAATCTTCTATATTATGTTGTGACCTACTTTAAAAGAGATCATTTCTTATTTAATGTCTCCTGTGAAATCACATTTATTAATGGCTCAAAGACCCATTAAATATATATTTGACTTAAGAGCTGTATATAAGGTGGTAAAAGCACTAAAACCCTTACCCTTCCAATCAGAAAAATGTTTACTGTAATTGTTAGTGTTTTAAAAGTCTTTTAATGGTAATATTTGAAATGTTTTGTTAAAACTGAATTTTCTGTTTATTTTCCTGTCTATCTATGTATACTTCAGTACAAATTTGATTAAGAAATGATACAACAATATACAGATATTTTTAACTTTTGTTAAAGGTTTAAAAAGTTGAAGCTGGTTTAATCTTCTGATCTTGTACCTCTTATTTATCTGTATGATATGGATTTATGAAATGTATTAATGAGATATCTGAATAAGCACCAGTTTATCCACAATATATATACTCTCTGAAGTTATTGAGAACTGTTTTTGACAATATAAGTTAATTAGCTCAAAATATGTCAGAATGTAAGGAATAAGTTAAATGATTTTCTGTATTTGAATATCTTACTTACATAATGCCATGTATAAAACTATTATTTTCAGTAACATTTTAAAATGTTTGTAGTTTTAGATAATGTATTTACAATGGTGAATAATGATAAAACTTGAAGCAACTATTCAAGAATCTTAAGTTTTGGTTTGTGTAAAACATACCAAAACAAAATAAAATACATTCTGATAAATTTGTTTTTCTCGTGAAAATGTGCAATAAGATTATCATTAAGACAACTGTTTCCAGATGGTGGATATTAATTTCAAGATGATAATGCTTCATGGCTTTGTGCCAAAAATGTTAAAGACTGCTTAAACTGGATCACAGATAAGAATGTAACAAGAAAGGACTAAGCAACACAGCTGTGTGGTTTAAACCAAACAGAGAATTTGTGGATAACAATGAAATGTTATTTTAATAAGTTTCATCCAGAAAAATAAAATTGAGGCTATATTGCCTTTTGAAATCATATGATAAATGAGATCTGGAAAAGGTTGTTGGCAGTATGCTATTCTCAGGTGCACTGATTTAGCTTACAGACATGAAGAGTAAGTAAAAATAACAGGAGGAGTGGAAGAAAATGTATCCCAAAACAAAACTGAATTTCTGACTCTGACTAAATTTAAGTAAACTACCAAACATAGTGTAAGAACAACTTGAAAGTAACATATTTTCACTTGCAGCACACATCAAAAACCAGTGCATAAAGATAATGCTCAGTGCTTCTCTGTTACTTTTAAAAGATCTTGACAGAATAAAGTTTGGCTAAAGAGTAATTATATCCATTCCAAGAATGAGTAGACTTACCACTTTATGCAAAACATAGTGTCATGTCTTCCAGAATATATGTATTATCCGTGTTACAATCATTCCACAAGTAAAATTAGGGATGACATTGTCTGCAGGTGATTTCAGATATTTGTATAGTTCACCTTATTATAGTACCACATGATGTTAAACTACATAGAATTCTAACATCTGTAAGAGAGGGAGTTCAACATTGTCTAAGGGGATTAAACATATGACAGTGAGTAAGAAGAGCCACATACTGGAACCAGTTCTCTACTGATAAACCCATAAGTATTTCCACAAATTTGTACAAGTAGAAAAAGACTGAAACACTTAGGTGATAATGACATGAAGTGTTCAACTTTTTTAATATTGAAAGGAAAATAAATGAATATATAGTGTGTTTCACTTACAACACCAAATGCCACAAAGATGTTGTATGGTGATGATATCTCACAATGTATTTTATATACTTGTATATTTGTGTATATATATATACATACATATACACACATACACAATAAAATATACAGTATTGTACTACTGCTGCTTGTTAATTTTAACAAAGGTTCTCTTTGTACTTTATGAAGTCTGTTATTATCTCAACTTCTAATAAAGATAAATACAATGTTTTTCTTCACTAGTGAATTCAGCATGACAATTATTTCAGAATATAATTGCAAACATACAATTGAGAACTCTTAAAAAAAAGAGAGAACTAGATACAGGCAGTTCTGTTTCCAGTATCTAGAATATTCACAATTGTAACAGTCATCTTCAAGAACCTTCAGTTGTTAGTCAGAATACATTTATTGTCACAAAAGTGATCTAGTGAGTGTCAATGTGCATCAGAGTTGAACAGAAGAAGCACATTTACAATTAAATCTGTGATAAATAACATTTTTGGTCACTCCACTAAAATGTAACCACAATTCCATGACAAAATGATGCAGTGTATCTTGTTTGCTCTACCACTGTTAAATCATATTTATATCAAGTATAACATAGGAATAACTGTGATGCTCATAACCTTAGTCCTTCCACAGACCTGACTGTTTACCAGAGGAGAGAGATACAACAGAGCTTAACCAGATACGAGTCATATCTGTGACATTATGCTGGTAAATTAAGGAACAGCTGCCAAGTGAACACTTGTGACTGTAGTAATGGAAGTCCAGGAACTACACAATCTCAAGAAGCCCATAGATGTTAGAGAGTAAATAACAGGTCTAAAGCACAAATAAATACAATTGAAAGCAATAATTTTTTGGTCTTTACAGTAAAATCCATTTTATTTCAAATTAACCTATACATTATAGTTTTGACACTTCAACACATCAACTACTGAAGTAAATTAGTCTACAGTAAAATTATTTTTATTGTGTAACTCAAAATTTTTTTAAATTTATTTATGATTTTACACAAATGTCAAAGAAGACTTTTATAAAGCTAAGACAGTTAACCACTACCATCACAGTGTGGGGCAGGTCAGTTTAAAATTAGGTGACCTTTTAGGTGAAGTAAAAAAATATATAATTTGTTTTTGATAATTTTCATTATTAAGCTGGTTCAGACACCAGCGTGGATCATCCATTATTTATGGAGGCTAGATGAGTCAGGTTTAATGGATTTAGATATAAAACTTACATTACTTGGAAAGAATATATAATCAGTCTTTAGCCAGATTGTCTCATAAGATTTTTCAAAAGTAACATTTGGAGAGAAGTGCTGACCATTGTCTTTATATACCAGTCTTTGAAGTGTTGCTAGTGAACATTTATTACTTTTACTCTACAGACGTGTTGCACATGAACATTTATTACTTTCACTATATGCTGGTCTTTGATATGTTAATACTGCGTACGTTTCAAGTACACAAATTGTATAAAGGTGTTAAAATAGATCTCGATTAAAGTGTTTAGTGATCACTTCGTAGCTTCAAATTCTAAACAACAGTGAATTAAATCGACAATGGGTAAATGTTAAGGAACTTGCTAAAATATTCATACAATTTAGTTTTAATATTTCGTTTTTGCCCACCTTGTTTTCATCTTTCATATGTTTCCATGAAAACACTAACATATCAGACATTAGTATCCATAAATCATTTATACAATAATATTTATCATAGTTGTCTTTAAACTTACAATTCAACATCAAATTGTCTCAGAAATCACTGCGTTCTTAGTGAGTTGGCTCACGTGTTGCCGAGTGGTTAGTGTGTCAAACTGCAAATCGAAGGGTCCAAGGTTAGAGCAATGACACCCATGGAGCATTATAAGTGTAACAGTCAGTCAATCCTTTTACTCAGTTGAAATAGTAGGATGATCAAAACCTGTTGATGCTGACTAGCTGATTTCCTTCTGACTAGTAACCCAAAGTTAGTGTTATCCGTGTTTGAACGGTTGAACCTCGTGGATTTAAACATCGCTGTTTATCAAATATGTATTGCATAAGATACCTTTTATGTTTAAAATTCCAAATCCTTAGGGAGCTGTGCATGTTAGTTACTCAAACAAATTGGTAAAAGCCGGATGTTTGAGGTGTCTTCCACAGGATGTACCTCAACTTGTCTGACATTAGTTTCACTAAATGAATAACTTATACAATAATATTGTATGTATAAATCCCCCTTTACTACGTTAATCCGAACTAGTGCGAGGTCGGTCAATATTTTTTAAACTTAGCAGTTTTACACCAGATGACTGGCCCAGTCAGCAACCTTATAGAACAAACATGCTGGATATCAGGGATTCGAGCTTTGATCCTCAGATTGCGGGTCAAACGTCCTAACCACCAGGCCCATTTTATATATACACACATATATCTAACATACAAAGATAAGTT